TAGCAAGAGGACAGTGGCCGCTGATGGCAGAGCTGGTGGTCCACTCGCGTTTTGCTCAGAGTTTCCTGGCGGCCCACCAGTGGTTAAGCAGAGTAATAGGCAAAACTTTGCTTATCATCGCTCATTTTCCACTCAGAGTCCAATTTACTGATTTTTCCTTCCTTCTTTTCTTTAGTTACACTTTGTAAATTAGTTTAATAGTTTGAATTTAGCACAGTGTCGGCAACAATATTTTCTATGAAATCATTTTATTTTAGGCCTAGTCATTATTTTTTTTCTTTCAGTTGTTTGTAATATTTGTCTATAAATTTATTTTCCAAAATAAAAGTCTGTGTGCATTTAAAATATTTTTTTTTTTTGTTTGAAGAGATTTTAAGAAAAAACTAATTAGAGAAAACTAGTTGAGCTTGTATGCAGGACAGTAATCTGGGTGGTCTGAGAGTGGACCAGCAGTGGCAAGCAGTCAGTGGGGTGCTGACCTTATCAAGCCAGGGGACCGATATATGCTCGCTATCTGGGTAACTATCTAAATAGGTACCTAGCTTGCTAGATGCTTATCCGAATAGCCAGCTAGATAACTATCTGAATAGCTAGGTAAATAGCTTGATAACTGTAAAAAATCTGAACAACTAGCTGTTTAGATGATACGATCACTTTCACACCCACCACATCACCCCACCCACCACCCACCACCATCAGCTCTTTAATTTTCACCAGTCTTGTTGATTTATGCATGCACATAACGTTGATTTAATCTGATAAGACATCCTCTTGGCTCTATAAAAGAAATTATGGACATATATACAGAATAATACTATTATTTGATCCAATAGGCATAGAAGTTTTACAAAGAAACAACCATATAAAGTCTCTATATCCATTAGATTCATGACTGAATGGTTATATATGTTAATTTATAGCCTCTGGTGTTAATGATACATATTTACGAGCACAGAGGGGTCTAATAGTAACCACTAAACACTGTTCTTGACCTTATTTATGCCATCTGCTATAATGAGCATGTGTTGTGAACAGAAATAGCAGTGCTTTAGTGTTTCAATGGAAGACATTGTAATGGTAGGCTTACAAAGAGAATAGATGGTTGCTATTATACAGGGTAGAAGAGATTTGTGTAATGAGTGAGCACTGGAGTCCTGCCAATGCATAGCATACTTATTATTCATTGCTACTGTGACTTGTAATGTATCCTCAATGGAGGTCGCAATGTACTCCAGCAGGTCTGCATTGCCATGTATTGATTAAAGATATGTTAGCAACAAATGAAGGTTCTGTATTCAAGCGAGGGATAAATGGTATATGGGTGGGTGCAGTGATAAATATGCACACACACACATACACACACAAAATATCTCACAGAAGCACAGAATTGACTCTTATCCTCTCCTCATTCATCAGAAGGGCTCTTTAGTCTGAACAGAACTGACCAGCCACATGACCAATATGCTCCACCAATTCATTATGCATCCTCACCACCTAAATGAGGCAATCGAACACATTGCAGGCATCTTTTTAATGCAGTGTAAATTTGAGTAAACACAGTCATTTAAACGTACGTTCTGCACCAGCATTCACAGCAGGGTGTCACTAGAGCGTGGAAGATTGTCAGGAGTGTTGACTCCCAGCAGGCAATTTCATCTATAATGTATATGTAGCTTGTTCCAGAGAGAGCTAGAAAGAGGAATTCCTGACCACAGATGAGGACCAGAGTGGAATACCACAAAGCCATGTTACATTTCATTTAAAGAGCCTATATACTACATTTTACTTGTATTTTATTATTACACTTACGTTTCCAAAATGTTTGTGTGGGTTTATGTACCAAAAACAGCCCTAATTCATTTTAACATGACCATTTTAGACAGTTAAATTCAGAAAGTTGTTTTTTTTTTTGTTACTGTACCTTTAAGACTGGCATATGTAAATTATTTTTGTTCTGATTGGCTGGCCTGTATTATGCCTTATTTAAAAAGCAGTTCAAGCTGAAACACTCTTTATACCTTCAGCAGGGCTTAAATGCTGTAGGCAGAAAAAGCATATATATGTAAATGCACTGTTTGTTGTGACATCAGAAAAACAATACATTTTAAACAGGCTGCTTAGTTTCCACATCGTACACAAAATTACAGTCAAATGACATGTTTTGCTGATTTATTAAGTGCAAATAAGTTACGACATCCTCTAAAGGGAACAAACTCAAATATGTCTTTTCCCTGCGAGTTTCTTTTTATTTTATGAGTTTACTTTATGATTTTAACATATTGGGAAAAAAAATAAAACACAAAATATGTACACACCACATTTTTTGCTTTTTTCCCAAATGTTAAATTTAGCGAATGACCAGCCATTGTGCACTAAAATGTGCAGAAATGTATTCTCTTTACATGCTTTGTTGATTTTCATTTAGAGCATGTAATTCAACCAGGGGCACCCAAACTTTTGCATACAACTGTGTACAAACTGTATGGACCGGAGAGTGAATGTTGTAATTAATATAATAAATGTAAAGTACGTAATGTATATAATTCAATTTTTATTGAATTATATACATCATACGACATCAAATGCTTCTGCTTCAAAAAGAGTGTGAACATTTCGGTGCCTATTGGCTTCTATTAAAAATTGGTGTCGATTCAGTGGCTTTTCGGTTTTTTTGCTAAGTACAGGGGAAAGCTGTCAGTAATCTGGACAGTAATCGTAATGGTAATAGACTGTGCACCACAGATGTGACTGATATAGATTAGGTTGAAAATGTTTGGAGTATTCCTTTAAGAAAGGAGAGAGTATGTTATCACAGAGTCACCGTAAGACTAATAATTCTGCATTTTTCAACTTCATCTCTGTCTGTTGCATCGGTAGCGTACAGCTGATTTCCACTAACAATAATTTAGACAGAAAACATGTTAACTTGAAACTCATTCACCTGTCCATTGGCTTGGAGTGCTTCAGAACCTGCATAGTGCCTTCATTTATGAATGGATTTCGAGTCAATGGGTTTTGTGTTCTGAAAAATGACTACTCATGGTGACTGACCACGTGTTAACGATGTGGTAGATAAAGATTAAGCTAAAAAATGCTGGAGTATTCCTTGAAATCTAGATTGGCTCATTAATGAATCTATCTATACAGTAGTATACATCAAAATCCTTAAAGGGTTTCCTTGTTGATGATCTGAGAGCAGTTCTCTTTCACTGGCTGAGGTCTGAACGTGGGAGGGCGTAGCTGGCCCTATTGCAGAGTAACAGGGTGATGCCATCCAGTGTGGGACTTGGCCTTGGCTGCTCAGATCAGTGGGTGGGAGGCAGTGTTACAGCAGCGATTTGGGTGGAAAACGCCAAAGCAGAGGACAAGGTCAACCTGTTAGAAACCACCACACTAAAATTCTGATTTTACAGCAGGAATGACTGTAGAAATGTGATTCTGCTAAGAGACGCATCGTTCTTTTAAAAGGTTTGGCAGAAAGGTGTCTACACATAAGACTGAAACGACTGATGTATACAGAATGCTAATGAAAGAAAAGCAGAGAACCGGGTAGAAAGCAGATGTGAATGCCAAATGCAGGAGTCCAAAATTCATCACAAGCATGTTTTGAAGCATCATGCCCATTGGTGCAATGAATCAGAAAGACCACACAGTTATTCACCACCGATGCCGCCCCTCAGCTAGCGATTTCACACCTCTTTATAGATTTACACATTTCAGCTCTTAAATAACACAGGCAGCCTCCTCAGTTAAACAGCACAGCCCACTGTACTGCCACAATCTGCTGTCATATATAATCATATAAATTTAATCTCAATGCTAAAATTACATTGAAATAGTTATGCATACATTCAGGATATAACGTGTATTTCCAAGCATTGTGCAGATCTACAAATCAGTATTCATCTTGGCTTGTGAGTGTTCAAATAAGAGTTCGCAGACATTTCAATTCAGTAGGTGTTAGCCCCCTTTTCACCCTGTTCCTCAGTGGTCAGGACCCCACAGGACCATCACACAGCAGGTATGATTTGGGTGGTGGATCATTCTCAACACTGCAGTGACACTGACATCACGGTGGTGTGTTAGTGTGTGCTGTGCTGGTACGAGTGGATCAGACACAGCAGTGCTGCTGGAGTTTTAAACACCTCAGTGTCGCTGCTGGACTAAAAATAGTGTCCTATGACCACTGATGAAGGAGCAGAGGATGACCAGCACAAACTGTACAGCAACAGGTGAGCTATCGTCTCTGACTTGACATCTACAAGGTAGATAAAACGAGCTAGGAGTATCTAATAGAGTGGACAGTGACTGGACACTGAGGTGTTTAAAAACTCCAGCAGCGCTGCTGTGTCTGATCCACTCATGCCAGTGCAACACACACTAACACACCACCACCACATCAGTATCACTGCAGTGCTGAGAATGATCCACCACCTAAGTAATACCTGCTCTGTGGTGGTCCTATGGGGGTCCTGACCATTGAAGAACATGGTAAAAGGGGGCTAACAAAGTATGCAGGGAAACAGACGGACTGCAGCCTGTAACTGTAGAGCTACAAAGTGCACTTACATGGTAAGTGGAGCTGATTTAATGGACAACGAGTGTAGAAACAAGGAGGTGGTCATATATATAGCTAGGCTGATAGACAGATATACAGCTTTACAGTCCATAAGCATTCATATTTCTACAGTAAATGTACAGTAGCACATGAATAATTCATGCACACCCCGGTGGCATGCAGGCATCAGCCCCCACCCAAAACCAGTCCAAAGCTCAAGGGAGGCACTTTCCTGATGTAAACCCCCCAACCGAGCACTGAATTAGACCTACACTGACGCTGATAACCTACATTACCAATCAAAGACCTAGAAAAAGAGCTTAAACCAGTTAGGAGAAACACCAGAGAGGATGAGGAGAACCTGAATGAGAACCATGCGAAAAAATAACAACAATTACTTGGGAGCAACTTTCTAAGTGATGGCCATCGAACATCTGCTTACCTGCAGGACACGGTGATCTCCACTTTGGTGGCGGGAATGTTGCCCGTGAACGGGTCGAACTCGTACACCGAAGCCATGTCGTCCAGTTTGTCCATAACGTCTCCCTCCATGAGTGGCCGGAGGGGCTGGGGGGCAAAAGTAGGGGTGGGTTGCTGGTGGGGGAGGCCAGATCACGGCAAGACGGACCAGAAGGACGCCTTTTACGGGAGGTCTAGGGATGGGGACACGGCCACGCGCACCCGCTCCTCACACTGGCGCTACTGAGGGGAAGAGCAGAGTTGGGCGCGAGCTCATGGGCGCGGAGCTGGAGACGGTCCGCACATGTGGCTGGAAGGCGGAGTGTGTGCGCGCGCCGAGCAGCATCCAGCGTGTAAAAGGAGGCGCGGTGCGCTGCTCTATCTCCACCCCTCCATCCCTCCACCCCTCCACCAGCGCCTGCCTGCACGGGAGGGAGAAGCTCGCCCATGCAGGATGTGCATTGCGCGTGTGGTGCTGGTGGGTGGTCAAAGTTTCGCCTGAACATCATTCACAGCGAGTAGAAGAACATGCTGGAAAAATAGCGCCGTGAATGTACATGACTCAGATCTGTCAGCAGGCTGAAGGTTAAAATATCGACACGACTGATGTTTTTCAGTTTGTTTCTTTTTGGTAAGAACTGTGTTGTTTTGCAGAAGAACACGGCCGCGTCCACAAGCGGACACTACCATATACATACTATACATACATGTATACTGTATACTACTCATACTACACAGAGCAATGGACTTGCAGTGGTGGTCTTTACATACTAATCAGTGCAGAAAAGACATGACGAATCAATAGAAGATGCGTCCGTGTCCGTAGATCGATATCAGTCAATTGGCCTATTACAGATCAATGCACGCGAATAAAAGTAGCTCATAGTCGTTGTCATATTAGAAGCTCGTAACAGGTGTTTAATTTTCAGTTTGAAAATGAGAGCTGACTTTTATATTGATTATGTTTTCATGATGGATGGACCAACAGAACTGGTCCAAAATTACTTTGAAAAAAATGTTGTTGTTTTTTTTTTTTTACAGTGGTGGTGATAGGAACCAGGGTTTGTTGATAATGCTAAAACAGTAGTAAGTGTGAAAAAAAGCAGCTTTCTTTGGGGACTATTTAGCCTCGTGACGCCCTGCATGTACTCCTCCGCCATGAATAAAAAATAATTATAACTGTATATATATATATATATATATATATATATATATATATATATATATATATATATATATAATAAAACATAAAATATGTAAATAAGGTAAAATATATACATAAAAAATATCATTTTAGTTCAAAAGTCAAAATGTCAAAACTTGTCTCGAACATCAGGCAACATATTCTTTACCATTTCATGTACAAACTTTAAGTGAGGGAGCTTTTAGAGGCTTTAAACTCTTCAGACGTCTGGTTCCTATCACCTTCACTGTGAACAGTTCTGCCTCAGTAAGCTTCTCTAGAACAGAGCATTTCACACCAAACCTCTAGGAATGACTTTGTTTACATCTTAGCTATTTTATTATGCAGTGTTTTAGAAATACATTGGACATATATTAAAGTAGAGAGGCTGTTTTCTCCATTCTTTCTGGAAATGCTAGATTTTAGACCTTTGGGGAATCTACGTCACATTATGCGAGGCTGTTATTGGTCTACATGTCAAAACGTACTGATGTAATACATTAAATTGCGCTCATTTTTATTCACGTTTTGTCACTGATAAAAGTCACTGCCACGAAGCAGCTTTAAAGAACTCGACGTCCAGATACAGTGAAAGAGTCAAGGCAGAAAAAGTGCAAAAAGGCGTGAAGAAGAAACGCTGAGAGGATCCGAGACGAAGCCGTCCTCCTCTGGGTGGCACTGGATGGTGGAGTTTTGAGATTAATACAGTAGAAACATTAAAACATTCGCTCGTGTCGTACAGACGAAAGCTCTGTAGGGTCAGGCAGTGACTATTGGTCAGTTAGGACTTCGCGGAATACTGATTATGTTAGACATAAACAGAGTATCGGTCAGAAGAACTCGGCAGGAGCTTGTTTGTAGATTTCAGCACGTGGACAGTTCCAACTCCATTACCCTCACTCATTCACAGCCTCTAGCGCTTTGAAAACGCCACAGAAAGATGATGGTTCTTCAAGGGTTCTTTAGTAAAGGGAATAGTTCTATTTAGCATCATGCGTTCTGTATAGATCCATGAACACTGAAAAGACTTGGTTCTTTGCATGGTGAAAAGCTTCTTCAGATTGATAGAGAAGGTGCTGTATATGGTTCTATACAGAACCTTTTTGGAAATGGTTCTATATAGCAACAAAAAGGGTTCTTCTATTGTTGCAAGCTTGACATCATAACAATAGCAGAACCCTTTTTGGTGCTATATAGAACCATTTTCAAAAGAGTTCTACATAGAATTATATACATTCTTCATCAATCTGAAGAACAATTTCACAATACACAGAACCATTTAATCATGAATGGAGTGCTCAGGATTCGATATAGAACCATTGTCTTAACTTAAGAACCCTTGAAGAACCATTTTTAAGAGTGTATCACTGAAAAGACTTCAAAAAGAGAACTCGTTCTATAATTAAAGAGGTCTTTGCATCATGAAATGGTTCTTCAGATTGATGGAGGATTGATGGTGTGTTTTATATGGTTCTATATAGAACCTTTTTGAAAAGGATTCTATATAGCACCAAAAAAGGGTTTTTCTATTGTTACAGGCTTGACATCAAAGTAAAAGAAGAACCCTTTTTGGTGCTATAGAACCCTTTTCATAAAGGTTTTATATAGAACCATCTACATCATATTCTCCATCAATCTGAAGAACCATTTAAGGATGCAAAGAACCTGTTAGTCATGTAAAGGGTTCTTTGTGTGTTCATGGTGCTATATAGAACCATATTCTTTACTAAAGAACCCTTGAAGAACCATCATTTATAATAGTGTGTTGTTACGATGTCAAGCCTGTATAAATAGAAGGTGCTATATAGAACCATTTAAAAAAAGGTTCTATATAGAACCATATACATCCTTCATCAGTCTGAAGAACGTTTTCACCATCTAAAGAACTATTTAAGCATGTCAAGCTTGTAACTGTAGAAGAACTCTTTTTGGTGCTGTATAGAATCATTTTCAAAATAAGGTTCTATATAGAACCATCTACAACATATTTTCCATTAATCAGAAGAATAAAGTTCACTATGCAAAGAACCTTTTAATCAGGCAGATGTTTCTTTAAGATTTCATGGTTCCATATACAGTGGGGCAAAAAAGTATTTAGTCAGCCACTGTTTGTGCAAGTTGAAGAAAGATGAGAGAGGTCTGTAATTTTCATCATAGGTACACTTCAACTATGAGAGACAAAATGAGAAAAAAAAATCCAGGAAATCACATTGTAGGATTTTTAAAGAATTTATTTGTAAATTATGGTGGAAAATAAGTATTTGGTCACCCACAAACAAGCAAGATTTCTGGCTCTCACAGACCTGTAACTTCTTTAAGAAGCTCTTCTGTCCTCCACTCGTTACCTGTATTAATGGCACCTGTTTGACCTCGTTATCTGTATAAAAGACACCTGTCCACAGCCTCAAACAGTCAGACTCCAAACTCAACCATGGCCAAGACCAAAGAGCTGTCGAAGGACACCAGGAAGAGAATTGTAGACCTGCACCAAGCTGGGAAGAGTGAATCTACAATAGGCAAGCAGGTTGGTGTGAATAAATCAACTGTGGGAGCAATTGTAAGAAAATGGAAGACATTGATAATCTCCCTCGATCTGGGGCCCCACGCAAGATCTCATCCCGTGGGGTCAAAATGATCATGAGAACGGTGAGCAAAAATCCCAGAACTACACGGAGGGACCTGATGAATGACCTGCAGAGAGCTGGGACCAAAGTAACAAAGGCTACCATCAGTAACACACTACGCCGAGAGGGACTCAAATCCTGCAGTGCCAGGCGTGTCCCCCTGCTTAAGCCAGTACATGTCCAGGCCCGTCTGAAGTTTGCCAGAGAGCATATGGATGATCCAGAAGAGGATTGGGAGAATATCATGTGGTCAGATGAAACCAAAATAGAACTTTTTGGTAAAAACTCAACTCGTCGTGTTTGGAGGAAGAAGAATGCTGAGTTGCATCCCAAGAACACCATACCTACTGTGAAGCATGGGGGTGGAAACATCGTGCTTTGGGGCTGCTTTTCTGCAAAGGGGACAGGACGACTGATCCGTGTTAAGGGAAGAATGAACGGGGCCATGTATTGTGAGATTTTAAGCCAAAACCTCTTTCCATCAGTGAGAGCATTGAAGATGGAATGTGGCTGAGTCTTCCAGCATGACAATGATTCCGAACACACCGCTCGGGCAACGAAGGAGTGGCTCCATAAAAAGCATTTCAAGCTCCTGGAGTGGCCTAGCCAGTCTCCAGACCTCAACCCCATAGAAAATTTGTGGAGGGAGTTGAAAGTCCATGTTGCCCAGCGACAGCCCCAAAACATCACTCCTCTTGAGGAGATCTGCATGGAGCAATGGGCCAAAATACCAGCTACAGTGTGTGCAAACCTGGTGAAGACGTACAGGAAACGTTTGACCTCTGTCATTGCCAACAAAGGTTATGTTATAAAGTATTGAGTTGAACTTTTGTTATTGACCAAATACTTATTTTCCACCATACTTTACAAATAAATTCTTTAAAAATCCTACAATGTGATTTCCTGGATTTTTTTTTCTCATTTTGTCTCTCATAGTTGAAGTGTACCTATGATGAAAATTACAGACCTCTCTCATCTTTCTAAGTAAGAGAACTTGCACAATCAGTGGCTGACTAAATACTTTTTTGCCCCACTGTAGAACCAATGTCTTTACAAAAGAACCCTTGAAGAGCCGTCTTTTTTCAGAGTATAGCACCAAAAAGAGCTGTTCTGTTGTTACAATGTCACAGCTGTAACAACAGAAGACCACTTTATGGTGCTATATAGAACCATTCTCAACAAGGCTCTATATAGAACCATATACCTTCTTCATCAATCTGAAGAACTTTTTCACCATGCAATAAACCATTTAAGCAAGCAAATGGTTCTACATTGAACTCATGAACTCATTCCCTTTACTAAACTACACTTTTTAAAAGTTTATTATACATTAAACTAATGGACGTCTAAAGCTGGTGTACTAGTTTTGTCTAGTTCAGTGTGGTAGTGTGTGATTTCTGATGCAGCATATTTCTCTCTACAC